AGGGACGGCTAGCGCAGATAGCCCTCGTGTAGCTTTGCGCGAAATTCAAAAACAAACAAACATATGTATTGTTCCTTGTTTTTAAAATGTGGAATTGATGTTTACTTTGCATGTATCATGGAGATTGAAGCGTCAAAAACTGTTATCTTCCACAACTACCAGTAAAATTGATCTTAATCATTCTTATTGCAGTGGCATCCCATGATGTAGTCTGGTTGTCACGTTCTATTTTAGATTAATCGTTTTACATCAAAAGTTTTATTATAATCGTAATGCTAAATTAATATTCTGCCTCGCTTTACAATAATTTAATATACACTCAACACAATTTTTAACAATGTTTAATAATCAACATTTTTATTCAACTTCATAATTGAAAAAAAAAAGAGAGTGTTGAATTCAATTAAAGACGTGTGCCTTGTTTTCAGTTCACAAATTTTTAGAGCTAAATTTTTCGGATTACGCTTTCATAAACTTAAAGAAAAAAGCATAATTTCTCAGAAACGAACATTTCGATTAGCGTCTTTTTCAGGCATACTTCAGGAGACCTCTTACCAAATTCAGATATTTCTACAAAATCAAATGAGATAGCAAAGTAATGTTAAACAGGTAATAGTGTTTCTTACTACACCTAAAACATTTCTGTTTTTTTACTGATTTAGCTAAAGGGGGTGTCTCACAATAAATTGTATCACATTTACTCCTTTACTGTAGGTACGCCAAAAAATAAAGTATAAAATAATTAGTAATTATTAGAATTATGGTTAAATAGTGATGATATAAAAATCGATGTGTAAAACACTACGTATTACCAATTATAATAAAGCAAACTTACTTTACTTATTAAGGGACTATAGTCAACAAAGGCAATTGTAATTTTGAGATAAGATAACAACCTCAAAGTTATTGAAGTCTAATACGAGAAATAATTGTGAATAAACTGTGGCAAATTATTTATTCAACATATCACAATCTTAAGATTATATATATATATGATTTTTTTATAATATGAAAATTAACAATAAGATAATGACAGTTCTAAAATTTACATTTATCTACAATTTCTAAGACAAAGTACAACTTGTTATAGAAGCAAAAATTAAAATCTAAACAAAATACATGAATTACATTTTATCAATAAATCTGTGATAATGGCAATTCCTAAACTTTATATATATTATATGTACGTGTTAAACAGAGTGACAGTATTCAGTAACATTTGCAGGCTATTTTTTATATTAATGAAGGTAAAATATATGCAAATATTTAATGGATTACATAAATGTAATTGAAACATTTATTCTACGACACAGATGAACTAAATGTTTTTGAATATTTTGTCCTATTTAAACAATCCCAGATTACTTATTAGGTTATTACAATCAAACTATCTTAAATGAAGATTGAAAACAACTATTTCTGTACAACGTTTCGTCTCTAACAGTGAGACATACAATATTATATCTTAAATGCTGTAAGTAATAATGCCTCACTGTTAGAAACGAAACGTTGTACAGAAACATATTTATTATCCCACATATAGCTGTTTCAAAACTTCATATTTTTGTATGTTAAGCGGGTACCTTTAGAAAGCAAGTAATCAAACTAATTTGTCAAAGCTTTACTAACCCTAAGATTAATAAGGCATTTTTTTTACACGCTGCTCTTACAAGTGATTTTAGTTTATATTAACGTAATTATTGGGCGACCATTAATAAAGTTAATAAGACATTTTCCTTCTACACGCTGGTCTTACAAGTGATTTTAATTTGTATAAACGTAATTATTGGACGATTATTAGTAAAGTTAATAAGACATTTTCCTTCTACACGCTGGTCTTACAAATGATTTTAATTTGTATAAACGTAATTATTGGACGATTATTAGTAAAGTTAATAAGACATTTTCCTTCTACACGCTGGTCTTACAAGTGATTTTAATTTGTATAAACGTAATTATTGGACGATTATTAGTAAAGTTAATAAGACATTTTCCTTCTACACGCTGGTCTTACAAGTGATTCTAATTTGTATAAACGTGTTTTCAATTGTGTTTTATATCAAAAACTAAATAATCCACAGGCATCTTCACTTCTTTATAATACCACGAACTCTCGAAACAACCAAGGATTCTATTTGCAAGCAATGAGGGAGAACTGGGAGTTTGAGTGACATATAATGACACGCTTATTTACTGATGACATAAGATAATGTATCATCTTTGGGTTGGGTTGTATATTATCCCAGTTACTATTGTCATCAATTTTCCTTTCTCTTGAAGTCTTTGTTGTTTTGGTAAAAATCATTCTTTTTCAAACCATTGTAGAGATGACGAACGTTGGTTATGCCGTGTTTCCTTATTTTCTCACCATCTTCCTTCCGGTAGGCCTTCCTGTAGAAGTTAGAGAACATCACCAAAAATAAGGCGGCGTTGCCAATGATGATGTAGACAAAGCCAGGAGGAAAGTCACAGTCAAAATAGAGAGGAAGAAGACCATGAATAAAGGCTACAACAAACTGAACCTAAAGAGAAGGAAATATGACAATGAAATTTAAGGTTGATTAAACTTACTATCTGAAAAAAAAAGTTGTTTTTTCTTTAACAATAACAAATTTTGATTTTATTGACTAATGCTATCTCAAAGTTTTATTCTAATGTCGATGTTTAAAATAAATAAATAAAATGACATAGGGGAAAAGTATGTCAACATTTTACTTTTTTCTTTACCTTGATCATCGCTTTCAAGAGTTGATCTTTATAAATTAAGAATTGGATTTTATATATATAAGCCTATTGTTTCTAACTTAATAAGATGGCTTGATGACTTTTTACAACATCATTCTAAGGTATCAATAAAACGTAAACTTTAATATTGCTCCGACATGCAGAAAAAACGGTTACTTCAGTTTTTTTAGAGAAACTGACTAATTGAATTATTCCACTCTTGGCTCTGATGTCACGTACAGTTGCGCTGAAATTCATTGATATTTTATGCTAGATAAAAATACAGTAATAGAAATATTATGAAAAATACAAGTCGTGTAGGGCACAGATCAGTTACCTCACGGACAATGTTGACATGATACTTTGACTGGCTGCAGTCTAACCAACCATCAATACTACATTCTCAGTGTATGCCTTGAAGAAGGAATGGCCTCCAAGAAGGAAGTATCTTACTAAAAGCGTTTTGGATGATGAGGGCTACTCAATAAGATAGAGTGGAGGCAAACAACATATCCAGTGGGTGACATATACAAAGCGTTTTGCAAATTCGGGAAATTTACATTGTTAATATCAAACCCAACCAAGAGAAGAAATTCATACTTTCTTCCAGTGGTTTCAAGTATCTCAGGATATGTCCTCTACAGGATAGAGGACTTTCCAACGGAGATCTGGCCAATAACCCGGCTTCAAGTACAAGTGTCTATGTTACCCGAGGACAGTAAGAAACAGTTTGGCTCAGTGCAATCTCAATAAATATATATAACTACATGAAAACCTTTCTTGTGGGGAGGCAACCAAAAGAAAAGTCTGAAATGAGTAGTGCTATGAGAAAGCCTGACAAAAGTTGTTCTTCACCAATGAGTTAAAGTCTGAGTTGTAAACACAATATTCATGTAACTCGAGTCTCGATCGCCTGTTAACAAATTACCATTGTACTTTACGAAATGTTTCAGAAACATTACAGTCCAGATGTAATCTATGTATTAAATGTACTGATCAGAAAGGCAGGAGATTTGCAAGACAATGGTGTGATGTAAAACGCGAAAACTGGCAAAGCAAAGTAAGCTCGCTAGGCCTTCCAATCTGAATAATATCACGTTTTTAGACTTAAACAACTTATGAATGACTAGCTACAAGAAAATTTAAATATTTGATATACCTACTACTAAGTATTACATATTGTTTACTACACTGAAAAATAATTAATTTTGCTGTTCTTATGCTAATTTTAAATGTGATTGTAAACCCACCAGATTCAAGCTTTCTCTGACGAACATGTACATGGTGAAAATGCTAACCAAAGAATTCAGCCGAGGAATTCGAGCTCTAGATCTGCTATATCTTTTTTTTTGTCTCTTTCCTGATCCAGGTATCTACTTTAACCTTATAAAATATGTACGCCTAAATTGGCAAAGCATTGGTTTAATTTTTAATATATACTTAACAAAAGCCATAAAATCACACTTGACTAAAGATTGTTTCCCCATATTTCTCTTAATTACTCCTTTACCAATTTTCAATCAGAAGTTTGCAAAATAGTTTTCAGACTAATATTTTGTCTGTCACAAACCATTGCCCAGTAAGCCTTTTGTTCAGACTCAGGACTCATAAACTAAGCTAGATTTTGCCGCAGCCAAAAACATGTATAAAATTTTATTTGTACGCCGTACAAGATATTCAACGTGTAAAAGTTAGCAAGCATTGAGGTGCTTTAGTGATAAAAAGCTATAAATTCTCATTTTAATACAGATTTTTTCTTAATCAATTATTTGCGGATTTCCACCCAAATTACTGCACATTTAGCCTTTGCACTCTAGATATAATGGTTGACAAAACGAAAATATTAAAGCAAATATAGACCCCGAAATTTGTGTTAGTAAAAACACTTAAAACGATCAACTAACTTGCAGTTTTTGCAATACATTAAAGAAGGGGAGGGGGTGAAGGTTGTATAAATCCATCAGCATGGATGAGACGTAAGCAGGTCTAAGTTGTTGTTAGAAAACACTTTTTGACTTCAAGCTTCGCATCCTTAGGCATTTCCATTTTATAAATTCCTTTCATTAACATCATATCTGTTTCTCCTTATGATACTTTTAACGTTTTTTATTGGCGAATAAAGCTTCGAACTAACCTTTTATCGTTTTGTACGCATAAGCATGTGTAGACATGTGAATAATACTGCATTTCCGTTTGTCACATATTCCTAATCCAATTTAATCTTTACCCTTTAAAATACTGTTTTATACACTACAGATAATAGCAAAAACTAATAATTTTTGGTATTTAGCTTACTTACATACATACACAGTTCTTTATACTTTATATCGTTTAATACAGTTTTTTATTTAGAAAAACCAAATAATACTTGGCCATGGAAGATATTTCTCGTTTGTTTACAAAAAGGACGCATCTTCAGTTTTTTCAGCTAACAGTTATAGTACACTAAAATCTAGTAGTATCATGTAAAAAGACGACCATAATTTTGTATTGTATGTGTTTATGTATTAAAGTACGTAGGAAGATGAAAGAGTTTGATACGTGGTATGTAATATGTTATCTTTAGACAGGAAAATAAATATTATATAATAAAAATAGATCTTATACGACAATACAATTTGCTTTAACATTACAATAATGAACCCTATTTTAATATGTAGATTGTTGAGAGAAACTATTTAACATACCATCTGCATAATAGTGAGGTACTTTTTCCACCAAAGATATGGCTTCATGTGAGGGCCGAGAGCAGCTAGGCAGTAGTAGGCATACATGATCATGTGGACAAAACAGTTGATAAACGGAAAAAAGGCATTATGACCACCTGTCGGACAAAAGTGCAAAGCTGTTACCTTAGGAATACGTATATGGATTACAGTCTTATCTTTTCAGACTCCAGAGTTTTGACAGTGTTAATCAAGAACGATTCAGTGATCTTGAGTCACCTTTCTACTGCATCCGTTACAAATATTTAAATAGTAAAGATGATTAAAATCTCAAGTAAATATACTTGGACTCATCATCCGTGACCACCAAAGATCAATATGCAAGATACTGGACAAATTACATAAATGAAATAAGACTCGGTGTTTCCACACGTAAAACAAGAAAACATTAAGTTTAAGCTGAAAAATAAAGAAAATATATTGTCGAGGTAGAAAAAATCTTCTATTTTATCACATTTATTGTTTCAACAGACGACACTAAACATAATGTGTTGTGAACGTTAAGCAAAGTCAGATAAGTGGATACTAGGATTTCGTATCGTAAATGGAGAACTTCTAACTCTAACTTACCAGCTCCAAACTTCATGCCTATCCAGATTCCCCAGGCAACAGAAGAATGATGTACCACGTGCAGGGCTGAAATGTGGCTGAACTTCTTTCGTAAGATGAAAAAAATCTGATCAAGAAATTATTGTTTATAAATGTACAAGGTGTTGTATATGATAAAATATGCATTCAAATAAATTCAGATATTTTGAAACAATTCTAAGAAACAAAGCCGCAAGATTTGAGCAATAAGTGACATTCATCCCGTACAAAATTCAATGAACAAAAATCATGTACATTTTTAGAAATATATATATATATACGTATAAACACTGAAATATATGGTACGGAAATGTCTTCGGTTCTGCTAACTCACCGTTATCTAGCGTAATAGAACAGTCAGTTTGTTATTACTTTAGATCTGATCTGTGAGAAAACAAAAACGAACTTACTGTGTCTGTAAATTCGAAAATCTTCAGTAACAGATAGTACCAACCGAGGTTCACAAACTGCCAAGATGAAGAACGAATGTTCAATAGATATATTATTATTATTAGAAAAAAAAATGTATATAATAATGAAATGTTCTATGATTCTCAAATTTTCAACACCAGGAAACGTTCAAAACAGGACATTGGATAAAAAAATTATTATTGTTACGGATTTTGGTGCTTTGCATTTAAAAAAGTCACAAAATGTTACACGAATTATAGACATCATCACTAATATAAAATCCATAACGTTTCCCAGCGTTCTTCTTGATTGTCTATTTTACTTGGTAAACAGATAATACCCATTAAATAGAGGTTTTGACTGGGTCTCACTCTAGATGGTGGACCCATACTTGAATACTTTTTGTATTCTACTTGAGTTTACTCAGTCACAAGGAATCTTATGAGTTAAAATGAATAAAGCAAGTCTAGAATTAACCCATACGATTTTATTCGGTCAACAGGGATACTAGCGTTCCAAATGAACATGAGCTTAGTCGGTCAACATGGTCGGCTATGATTAGGTACGGATAAAGCCACCCCACATTAATTCATACAAATTTACCCAGACAACAAAAATCTTAAGGTTTGGAATAGCTAAAGCCAAGCCACATTAATCGACAGGATTTTATGAAATCTGGCCCGTCATGGCCAGGTGGTTAGGGCGCTCGACTCGCAATCTGAGGCTCACGGGTTCGAATCTCCGTCCCACCAAATATGCTCGCCCTTTCAGCCGTGGGGGCGTTATAATGGTACGATAAGTCCCACTATTCGTTGGTAAAAGAGTAGCCCAAGAGTTGGTGGTAGGTGGTGATGACTAGCTGCTTCCCTCTAGTCTTACGCTGCTAAATTAGGGACGTCTAACGCAGATAGCCCTCGTGTAGCTTTGCACGAAATTCATAACAAACAAACAAACCCTCTAGTCTTACACTGCTAAATTAGGGACGGCTAACGCAGATAGCCCTCTTGTAGCTTTGCGCGAAATTCATAACAAACAAAACAAATAATTTATGGAATCAATTAGTATTTCCCTGGTTTAGAGTGAATAAAGCAAGTCCAATATGATTCATACGATTTTACACGGTCAACAGGGATTCTATGGTTTGGAATAAATACAACCAGCCTGCATTAATCGGCACGATTTTATTTAGTCAACAGGGATTCTATGGTTTGGAATAAATACAACCAGCCCGCATTAATCGGCACGATTTTATTTAGTCAACAGGGATTCTATGGTTTGGAATAAATACAACCAGTCCACATTAATCGGCACGATTTTATTTAGTCAACGGGGATTCTATGGTTTGGAATAAATACAACCAGCCCGCATTAATCGGCACGATTTTATTTAGTCAACTGGGATTCTATGGTTTGGAATAAATACAACCAGCCCGCATTAATCGGCACGATTTTATTTAGTCAACAGGAATTGTATGGTATGAAATTAACAAAGCAAGCCCAAATGAAGTAATGCATGTAGGTTTGAATAAAACATTTTAAACATATTTCAAAAAGAGAACCTTGCTGTGTTGAATTGTTTTCACAAGCTACGCACAAGTTTCATGGATTTGCTTTTGTAGCTTAAAGAACTTTTATCATCAATCTCAGTTTCAATATACCCATCTGTTGGCTCAGCGCTAAGTTTGAGGACCTTGCACGCTAGAAACCGGGCTTCGATACCCACACAGCCTTTGTGTAGCTTTGTGCTTAACAAATTTACAACGAACAAGGATAAAATTGTTATGTTGGTTACGTTGCCAAATGAATGCAGAAAGCAGCTATTAAAGCTATGTAGGTCGCACGATATGTTAGCAAAAATGCAAATCACATGAAGGTAGCCTTGACATACGGTGGTTTTTCTCAACTCTTCGTGTCACAGGTTTGATCCCTGTATTCGTTTATTTCCATTTAAAAGTACTAACACAAGCAAAATTCTGTGTTCGGCTATTGTGAAAGAATGTGCATATTATCATCAGTCAGAAGCATTATTAAAATAAACGTGAACAAAAAAGATAAAATAAGCTTAAATACTAGTTATAAACATTTTCATATGTGAAACAGGTACGGGAAATTACCGAAATAAAATTATGTCCTTCAATCCTGTGTGAAAAAAAGGAACAGGTTTGGTGTGTTTTGATTTTCAAGCAAAGTTACTCGAGGGCTATCTGCGTTAGCCGTACCTAATTTAGCAGTGATAGACTAGAGGGAAGGCAGCAAGTCAACATCACCCACCGCAAACTCTTTGGCTACTCTTTTACCAACGAATAGTGGGACTTATCGTACCATTATAACGCCCCCACGAATGAAAGGGCGAGTATGTTGGAAACTTTGTACTGTCAGTTACAGTATGTGTTTTAGTGGAACGCTCCCCAAGAAGCTGTAAAGCGAAACGTTGAGTATCTAATTAAAGAAAAACAACAATTTGGCATTATAAAGTCGTTTAGGTCTAGTATTAACATGTTAGCTTATTTGTTTTCACTGTCATGTTGTACAGTTCAACTACTTGATTTATTTTCATACTGTATGGTTGATTATTGCCGTGAATTTCCATAATAAATTATAAGTGTCAACAGAAAAGCATATGATGTTTAATATATAATGTACGTTTAACAACAGAAAAACATATGACGTTTAATATATAATGTACGTTTAACAACAGAAAAACATATGATGTTTAATATATAATGTACGTTTAACAACAGAAAAACATATGATGTTTAATATATAATGTACGTTTAACAACAAAAAAACATATGACGTTTAATATATAATGTACGTTTAACAACAGAAAAACATATGATGTTTAATATATAATGTACATTTAACAACAAAAAAACATCGGAGATTTATGTATAAGGTACATTTAGCAACAGAAAAACATGATGTTTATATATACGATACATTTAGCAACAGAAAAACATGATGTTTATATATACGATACATTTAGCAACAGAAAAACATGATGTTTATATATAAGGTACATTTAGCAACAGAAAAACATGATGTTTATATATACGGTATATTTAGCAACAGAAAAACATGATGTTTATATATAAGGTACATTTAGCAACAGAAAAACATGATGTTTATATATTTATATATATGTTTATACATTTAGCAACAGAAAAACATGATGTTTATATATAAGGTACATTTAGCAACAGAAAACATGATGTTTATATATACGGTATATTTAGCATCAGAAAAACATGATGTTTATATATAAGGTACATTTAGCAACAGAAAAACATGATGTTTATATATAAGGTACATTTAGCAACAGAAAAACATATGATATATACATATTATAACAAATACTCAACAGTGTATAAAAGTGTATAAAAAATTTTGTTGCTTTTTGTCTCTGCAGAAAAACATTACCTTCATTGTTGCTGGATCTGTAGCGTAGCTGATTGGCTGACAGAGCCAACTGTACTCAGTTGATAAGTAAGTCATACTTCCCCCCTGAAACACATATAAAGTCTTACCTTCAAGTTTAATTTCTTTAATAGCTGTACTAAAGCCATGAAAAATATAAAAATGTAATGCACAAAGATTATATCTTCCTTACAAAAGACTATTGTATGAATGAATAAAAAAACAACATAATACACCACACTTATTCGTGCTAAATTACATATAAGTTGAATAACGCAGTATAACGTTTTCATGATAACCTTATGTGATAAAACTACTGATTGTCAAACATGAGAAAAAAACTATATAGATACTTTTCACTATGATATAGGTCCAGTTTATTTCTCTTTGGTTAATTTATGTTCAGGGTTACTGAAACTAGTATAACCCAATACCACACGCTGATCACAGTGTAGAGTGAACTGGACCTCCCTTGAATTTAGACCTTGAAATTAGACATTTTTCGGAATACTAAGTTTATTTATTATAAGTACTGATTATGTTAGGGATTTTCTTTCAGAATTATTACGTAATGAAGCCAAATTCATTTCAGTATCACTTAGTAAACACTAACATATAGTATAAGTTGACATTAGCTACGATATATAACTTGAATTTATGCTTTTGTCGCAAAAGGAAAACGAGTTTTGACGAATAATTTGTTAATTAATTCAATACATTTCTTCGTTACGAGCGTCCTCAACTTAGCTCGAGGTAACATTGCCAGGGATAAGATAATAATCTAAAGGCTTTAAGTTATTACGTATGTATGAGTATATTATCCATAAACACACCAGCTTCAAGGCCTCTGTGGTGATAATTAATTCTTGGAAATATGAAAAAACAATATGCATTCGTTTTTATAATCCACTGAACTACACAAATTAAAGTAATTTAACTAAAGATTTGTTAAGAGAGACAACGGCTATGTTCGACTGCTCGAGCGCCTTAGAAAGGTACAGACATTCTATTTTCAGGAAAGTACCTTCCGAAAACACTGTCGTTTTTAGGTAACTTGTGTTATGAGTTAACAACTTTATTATCCTATTATAGTATTATCTTTTTTTTTTTCTAGTTCATCTTTCCTCTGCAATATACTTACATAGAAGAAGAAAAATGCACTGAGAAGTACTTGTATTATGTTGTACACGATGATTACTCTTTCAATTGAAAAAGGTTTCTTGTTTTTCATCCATGCAGGTCCAATAACTTTGACAAAGTACACGTATGAAGCAATAATTGATATCATTGGAAAAGGCGATCCAAGGAGAGGCCAATTGCTGGTCCGTGGATCTGTGGATTGAGAGTAAAAATACAAACTCGACATCTAACTGGGAAATTATTGAAGAACTAAAGTTTGTTATGAACCACTATAATTATATAGTAACAATTATGTATAGATACAAAATAGATGATTGCAGAAACTTACAAACTACTTATCTTAGAGAACAAAATATCACGAGAGACACATTTACAATGACAGGTTTTACTAAGGAAAGTCTGTAAACGGTACTGAGTATTTCAGTATATCATAACAAGTAACAAAAATTTGGATGGCAATGGCAAAATGTACAGAAACAAGGTAAGGATGAATACACAAAATCATACAAAAATCACCGTATAGGTAGCCAAAATTTTCCAAGAAAACCTTTTATCTACAATTATGTTAAATTCCTGTCCGTTGCATGCATTCAGGTTTGAATAAAAACATTTAAACTGAATAATGCTATAGCGTCTTATAACGGCTAATTCCCATAAGCTTGTGACATTGACTGAATGGCTACTTATGTAGCATTACCATCCCCACATCGTACTTTTTATTTTTCGTTTCCCCTCTTTTTTTAAACAAGCCAATGAATATTATTGAATGACAGTCGCTATGGAGGCAGTTAAAAGCCGGGCGTGATGAGTTGTCTTGATGGACATCATGTGTTAAAGCTAGTGAAACCCTATACTGCTTCTGTACTCCTCAAGTCAAAATGAAACATTTTGGTGTGTAAATCATCACAACAAGTTCAAGCATTGGTGAGCTAATCCTTCTGACGCCAGAATCAGAACAATCAGTAGGAAAATAAAACCTAAATCAATAATGTTGGGTTACTTTAGTCAGCTTTTTAGAGCGAGCTGATGCACAAATTATCAAATATAAAAACAATAATAATGATAAAAATCTGGTATTTTAACTTACATTTATTCTCTATCCAGATTCCTCATGCAACGGTTTGGCGATCAAGTAATCTCTCACACACACAATCAATGTTTCAGCGTAAAAGGTTGTGTTAAATCGTCGTGTCAACTTACTTAAAAATAACCTGGTATTAGCACCTTAATTTATGAACTTGGGAGAAGTTTAACAATTACTCAAATACCAGTATATTCTCTCAACTCAAACGCTTTTCTATAAGTTAGGTATGTTTGAAATCTGTTAATAAAACATCAAGCTAAAAAGAACATTGCTAAATCCCGATTATTTATTATTTTTGTCTTAAAACATCTTAATGTTTTCTATGATAAAGTATTAGCTTTATTTAGTAAATAAATAAATAAAAATTAATAATAATGCTATGACAACTATATATATGTGCCAACTAAATTAAAGCTTGACTTTAGGTGAACTAAAAATATGTGTTTAAACATTACAAGAACAGAATGTATTATGATGTCACTGATTATAGAAATATTTATATCAGGGATAATTCATGCTTTATATATTTTCCAAATTTATCACGTTTATATTTCTATCATTCTCTAGCAGTGTTTCGAAAATATTACGTATACGTACATATTACACAAACGTTAGTTGTCCAAGTTTCCGTAAAAAGAATCAACTTACCAACTATCCTCATTTCGCAAATGATCAATCTGAAGTCGATCTTGGCTTATATTTTGCGACATGTATACAAACTAAAAAATTTCAATAACTGGTTAACAAAAAAGTATGGTACACGGCACATTTCCTATTATTTTTTTTACAAATATTAATATTAATTACCAGGTTTAATTCTGAACTTCATGACTTCTTTTATTTCATTGGCTTTTGTGTTGCTATGGGAAACGCCATTTCATTAGAACAAGTTAGATGAGTACTTTCATTCTATATTACATTTTAAATCTCGTGATTTTGACTTCTGTTCTACAGGAAGCATCATTAAATTAGAATGAAATAGATGAAAGCCTTTGTTCTAGATTATATATTAAAACTCGCGATTTTGGTTTTATGTTGCTATGGGAAACATCATTTAATTGGAACGCGTTGGATGAGAAATCTTGTTCTAATTCGGATTCTAATCTTGAATTTGATTTTGGAAGAGACTCTGGTGATGAAAGCGACTTAAAATAGTCAAGAAAACCCAGTTCCAGTGCTTCTCAATCAGCTGATCAGAGGGGACAAAGAGGCCACGAAAGCGAGCCCCAGCTAGACCTGGTCCACCTCCTAGATTTACGTCCACTATCTGAGCCAGATATAATGGTTGGGATGAGGTAGATAAGTCAGCCACAAGTAATGACTTGTGAACTGGCGTGATCTTGGTGTACAACAATGATAACCCAACCTCCCTCGACTGTTTCAAAGCTATTTTTTACAAAAGATGTAAGTAATGTACTCATCACTGCTATCAACCACTACACAAAAGCACAAGTTACAAAGAAAACGCCTGCTCAGAGATGGTTGGGGTGTGTGAACTGGACTCTCTTTACCCACTATGAGCTGCTGAAGTTTCTTGCGATGACAACATCAATGGGTATTAACAAACGACCTAACACTCGAGACCATTTCGCCACTTACCGGTCTCTCTACACACCCCTCTGTCGCCAAATATTCGACACGCAGAGTTTTGAGGCTATTTACTCAACAATGCTGAAGGGAAAAACAAAATTTAAAAACAAAAATTGAAATTTTATAAGGTACGGTGATAATTATAAGGATACCAAGAAAATAATTCCGGCAGTCCATGCAAAAATGTATGGGTTTAAAGAGTTAAACCTGTAACCCAGAATATCGAGGAATTAGAGATTTGATATCGAAGAAAACAAAAAGTGTGAATATTAGAAAATCTTACTGGTAACACCAATTGAATGGTCTCAAAGTTAGATCAGTACGCACATTATAATGTCTTTCTATCATTATTTATATACGTGAATCCGAAAAAATCGAAAGCAACTCTTTTGTAAGTTAGAGATTTATATGCCTAAAATTTAAACTGTTATTTTTTTATAGTCGCGACATAGCGACTTATAGAACGACTCTGAGTTTATTTGTTTTTTAAATACAAACTTTTAGTTCATAGCTCCGTCATCTCTTGACCGATTTGAGATCTAATTACAGTTTTGGACTCAGGAGGTCAAACC